TTATGTATATATATAGGGTTGGATTCACGTGAGACCAATGGTTTTTCGTGAGACCCGTAAGATCAATTTATGTTCATTGATCAACTTTATAAGTTAATGATCTAATGGTCTAAAATTGCACGGTGGCAATTTTGTGATTATTAAGAAGTCTCGTGGCAATTTTGTGATTATGAATGTTCATATTGTAGATCTAATCCAATGATTGAGAATTGGTCTTACGGGTCTCACGAAAAACCTTTGGTCTCACATGATCTCAGTCTATCTAATGATTGTTAACATGTATTAATTATGTGTCTTAAAAAAAATAATTGACTCCAATTAAGGAACTTATATAAGACAACTAACCTGGGGTTTCAATTATTTGTTTTCCCTTTATACAATTATATAAATATAATTATTTATATTAAATTATAATTATTTATATTAAATTAATTTTCAAGCCAACTAATGTCTCTATATAATATCATCATCTACCTGCCTTACAACTTACAAGTGGAAAAGACTACTTTATCCTTTTGTTGATTATTTTCTTATTACTAAATTTATAAATAAATAATTCAACTATTTTTTAAATTAAAAAATTAAATACACCATTGGACTTATTATATAATGATTTTTTCATGGCTTTTTTTACAAGTAAATAAATATTGAGATCGACCCATGAACTACTCCAATGTCATCGTGTGATGGTAAAGGACAGGGGTGCTTAAAAACCTGACCAGTCTGATGTGAAATAATTTAATTTGAAGCAACCTGATATTTAATTGAGTTGTATAATTTTTAATTAATGGGTACTGGGTTGATATTGAGTTATTATTATTTGAACTTAACTCAATCCGGTAAATCCGATATCTTTTTATTTTTTGGATTTAATGTGATTGTTGAGTTTCTATTAATATATACATTAAATAATTATACTATCATGTACCCTCTTCATATACTTATATTTCAATTTATTCTCCATCTCTATATAACTCATGCGTATATATGTTCAGTAATGTGAACATATATATGTAAATTGAGAAAATTTATTGAATGCGATATATGTAAGATTTAAGAAGTATGGATAAGTTGTATCAAATGGTTGATGATGAAAAATAAATTGTGAGTAGAAAAATAACATATTCACGGTTAGAAGAATATTTTAGTGTACCAAAATATCAACCCGACTAACCCGATCAACCCATAACGATTTGGGTTGGGTTAGGTTAAGATTTTCCAAACAAAAGCATTGAGTTTGTTGTTCAAATATCTTCAACCTGATCAATCTAACACATAAATACCCCTAGTAAGGGGTATCGTTGATCAATATCTATGTTATTGTTTTGTATTATTTATGGTTTTTCTGTTGTGTAATTAACAAGACTCAGATAGCTAAAAGTTTAATAGTTGGTTTTCGATAAAATACAATTGACCCAACTATATCGAGATTCTAAGCGGAAATAAAATTGACGATGTAAGAAAATCAACCATTTAAACAATAATAACTGCTTAATACCTTTAACCAAACACCCTTTTAATTCCTCTGTTTCTTGCTTACTCTGCGAGTGTGTGAATGAAGCGATAAAGAACATAGAGGTAATTAGCAAGACTCAAAAGGGTTAAGACTTGTGTTATATTATATATGAGAAAAGTATCGGGCAGAAGAGTACGCGTATTCAAAAAAAATTGATGGATCGCAAAACCCGGTTGGATCGAATCAAATCGGTCCGCGTTTGGTGGTTTGCATGGTTTGACAGCTTGGTCTGGTCTAGAAAATTGTCAAATAACGGTCCCAATCCGTGGGTTGAACGGTTATTTTTTAGGTCCAAACTAACCGAACCACTTGTGTATATAAATATATATTTTTTAATAGTAAGCTTAACTTTTGGTCCCTAATGTTTATTATTTTTAACGATTTTTATCCCTCAACTTTGTTTTAACATATATTTATCCCTCACATTTGACACCTTGCAACGATTTTCGTTCTCCTTCTAACGGCCATTAACTTTTTCTGTTAAGTCCAATTTAATAAGAGGTCTTTTAATCATTTTAACATTTTCTTATCATTAAAACCACAAGGACCAAAAATGTATTTTACTCTATCATATACATACATACATAGATATGTATAATACACCCACGTCTGTCGTCTCCCCCCAGCCCCAGCCCATCCCCAGCCCCAGCCCCAGCCCCTGTCTTCATCTCCCCGTACTATATATATATANATCCCCAGCCCCAGCCCCAGCCCCTGTCTTCATCTCCCCGTACTATATATATATATATATATATATATATATATATATATATATATATATAACCAGAGAGAAAACGCCACGACTATAAACACACACACATTAATCCACGACAACTTTCTCCACCACCACTGCCGGTTCACCTCTACTCCGGTGAGAGAGCTCCGACAGATCACTCTTTCCCCCCCTTTTCGCACTCACACACACACACACACACACACTCTCACTCGAACCATCTTACGAAGTTCCCTTCCCCTTGAAACCTTCATATTCTCGGCAGTGGAATTTCACGCAACCTCCGCCATTTCAATATTTCGGTTTTCATCCTCCATCTCGCCGCTTTTTCTTTTACTTTCAATGTTGTCGTTTTATGCTCCCACCAATACTTCCTCCACATCTGATTCCCCTTGCTGGTACGACTTCGACGCCTCCAAAACTACTCCATTTTGCTTTCAACAGATTAATTTAAGAAATTCATCCGAAAACATAACAAATTTACACCTCTATAGTTTCGTTGTTGTCGCTCATGCAATCATCGTTTTGTATTCATTCTTCGAAATAGGAGCTCCTATTTGAGAAATTTCTTGAGATTCCACCATTTTTCCAGAGTTTTCTCAACTCTGGTTCGATTTCAGTCATGACCAGATTCTTATTTTTCGCTTCTAGCGTCTTCTTCTCAAGAATTTTCCCGTGTGGAATCAATGTTTGCATATGTAAAATGCCAAATAGCTGAATAGAATGGTGTTTTCTACAAGTGTTTGCTAACTTGTTCTATTGACGGGATCGGCGGGGACGTAGCTTGCCAGACAACTGAGAGGGATTCCCACATGTACGACCAATAACTCATTAAAAGACTTGTAGGTTCATACAACAATAAACGAGTTTGTTCTAATCAATGCAGATGAAGTTGAAAGAATAAGTCAACAAATTATTTCTTAGATTTCCCAAAATCTCAATTGGGTTACCTCTGTTTGCCCTAATTCTCTTCTCGGTTTTTCATTCTTTTATCTAGATTTATGCCTTTGGATAACTTAATTTCAGTTCTTGGTATCAAAATTTTGGTTTCAAGATGGAAAGTTCAATCTTTTATGTATTAGTTTATCTCAGTGGCTTACACTATAATATAATAATTTATTTCTTTTAGCAATTAGAAGTGGCTATCATCTCCATTTTGGTTTTGAGTTTATCCGTATCTCAAATGTTATTATTTGATGTTCCTATATCATCCCACCTGTTATCGTTCTTGGATAAAAACTCATTTTTTATTTGTATTTTAATGATGTATAAATTCAAACCATAAATTAAAAAAAAAAAAACCAAAAAATACCTTTAATATTATTATAATTTTAGTAATAATAATAAAAAATTTTATTATGATATTCTTTTTGTTAATAAAACACAATTATTATAATATATAATTAATTTTTATAATCAATAAATAATTATAATTTGTAGTATGTCTGGTATACCTAAATTACCAGTATTAAGTGTAGTTATCGACATAATTTTGATGCACATATTTTTCTCTTTGATAATCTTGCAAGTTTTTTCTTTAAAATCTTTTTACCGATTAACATTCAAGTAAAAACGTATCTTTATTAAATAGTTGTATTAATCTTTTGTTTCTTGTTACAATAAAAATTTACATTCGACTGCAACATATTCCAAAAATAATGTTATTTCTGACAGACTCTTGTTGATTTTGATAACATGGTGAGAAACCAATAAACTTTGCAGACATCAAAAAAGACACCAATGAAGTCCCAAACAGGAAAACTCTTGAAGGTTGAATTTTGAATATTTGCATATTATTTAGAATAAGCGGAAGAGTGGTATTGGGAAGAAGCATAGAGAAATTATGTCAATAGGTTCAATATCATGCATGTTGGCCAATTTGACATTATAAAGTCGCACTATCTACACTTAATATTCACTCAGAGGATTTTGAATTAAAAGGGCGTCGAGATTTCACGGGATTTCATAGGATTGTATGTAATAAGGTTTTAAAAAAAATATTAAAAACATTTGTTTTGTAATAATCGATTAATAAAAATGTAATTTAATTATTTTTATAAATAATGGAATCCAATTCCATTTCAAAACCCTACAAAAACAACATACCAATGATTTCAAATCGATTCCATTCCAATCCAAATCCCCCGTAAAATCTAAAGGGGTGTTTGGTTAGAGGTATTAGACAGTAATCAACGGAAATGAAAATAAAAAGAACTGTTTGATTTTTATATAATATAATAAGCTTATTCATCCAGAAGCCCAAATTTTAATTCCAGGTTAAACTAGAAGAATGAAAATTCATTCTCTGTCATTTTAATTATTATATTCATTCCTCTAACTGAACCGAACACCCGCTAAAGAAGACAATCTAAGGGGGTGTTTGAGATTGCTTATTTAAAACAACTTATGCTTTTCTTCAAAAGTGCTTATCAACTTATGTTTTTTCTTCAAAATTGTTTATCAACTTATTATAAGTTAGAATGATTTAACTCATTCAAAAACTCCTTATTATCGGCTTGGCACCGGTATAAGATGTTTATCCAAACACTCAAAAATAATTATTACCGATGTCATACTGAAATAAATTAATAAATTATTTTTATAAGCAATCTAAAAATTTAAAGAAAAACTATTTGAATATGTATTTGCCAAAATTGTAATAAATAGAAAAAAGAGAATGTCAAAAGATTAGGTTGTCCGGTGTATATCTTCAAGAATCAAGATGCTTTCTCTTGCCGTCCTGTCTTCAGACACGGTCTCCCCTCCTCACTTCACTATTTCAACTCGCATTTTCACCTCAATTTCATCTGGGTTCCATTTCTTCATCCCAAATCTCCACAAACAAGAACCCTAATCATCACAAACCCATCATCATCATTCATTCCTGTCAATCCCTTGACTTTTTTATACATATATCATCGCTATCATGTATATTTTCCTGTAAATTTCTTTGGCCTTTTCGATCAATTTGTAGAGTTTGTAGCTTCGAGATCGTTGAACGTGTGAACGGATAAATTAAAAAATTTGAAGGTTAGGGTTTATATAATATATCATCGATTAATGGAAACAGTGGGTGTTGGTGTTTCCACCACGAATTCTGATACTTATGCTAGTAATTCAAACTCAGTTTCATCAAATCCTTCATCTCCGACGACGAGGGGTAGCAGTTCTTCCAGAAGGGTGGCGTCGTCTTCCTCTTTTCCTATAGTTCGCTTCTTACAAGCTCCCGTAACTACTATATTCGAATACTCGGGTTTTCTACGGCCTAGGTCAAACAGCGATTATCATGAATCCGAAAGCTTGATTCCGCACCATCATAGTCATAGTTCGATTGATTCCGGTACCGTTCCTAGTAATAGTGATGATAGTAATAATGAGGGGGAGGTTTCAATTCGGATAATAGGTGACGGAGAGCAAGAAGGGGAACATGGTGGAGAATCAGGGGTCATAGGCGAAGATAGTGGTGGGAGGGAGATGGCTGATTCTAGTGATGTTGATGGTAGGACTAGTGGTAATGGGAGTAATACAAACAGTGATTCATCAAATCAACAGAGGTATGATTTGCAGCAAGTTTCAAGGTGGATTGAGCAGATTCTTCCGTTTTCCTTGCTGTTGATTGTTGTGTTCATTCGTCAACACTTGCAAGGTACTTGTGGATCAGACCCTTTATCGTTTCTGCTTTGAATTGTTTGTTAGGTGTTCAGTTTACGAACTACTTTTGTTCTTTAAATTCGGGTTTGCGATATTTATCTGTGGAATTTGTTTCAAGCATGATTTATTTTCTAACCTTTTCTTCACGAACTTGAGTGAGAAATTGCAGCTGAACACTATTTCTATTATTGAGTGACAATATTGACTTCAAACGTTGGCAATTATGTGTAGATTTTGGCTTTGAAAGAGGGGTGATTTAATGTTAGTTTGAGCTGTCTGAGCTGGACTAATTGGGAAGAAAGATCCAGTGTCTATGGGAGGATAAGTATAGAATCTCACTGGCAATATAATGATGATCACTAGTAGTTATCTGATTGACATGCATATAAGGGCAGAAAGGTGTTTCGGCTAAACCATAAGGGTGGTGCCCGATTGGTTTGAGCTTGGCTCCAAAGGTCAAAAGTACCGGGAGGTCCCAGGTTCAAATCCAAGAAGGAATAAAAGTCCTCTTGTGGCCACTGAGGTTCAAATGCGGTGACTCCGGGATATCTGCAAAGCAGGTGGTCTCCCTGGGATTAGTCGGCTCGCATAGCGGGTTGGATATCCAGGTTAATTAGAAAAAAGGTTGTTTCGGCTAATTATCCTGTGTAACTATGCATTCCTGGTTTGCTAAGTTGAGTTTAAGCAACCTTTTTTGTTTCATGAGTGCTGGGCCTTCTCAAGTTGCAAGAACTTTTCCATTGAGCATATTGGAAATGTGGTCACTTCTTTTTCCCCATTACCTACAGCTCTTAGCACAAAGGTGGCATTTCTCTATGAGAGGAATTAAAGCTCAATATTTGCAAGGACATTGCATCACTTCAATATAACAGAAATCCTATTAACCATATTTTTAGCATGGAAATAGGCAATCAAAATCAATTGAAGCACGATGTCTTACTTAAAAGGTGATTAACTTTTTGAGCTGTCGTACTTGACTTCTCATAGGGTATGAACCATTTGTTATACTGTGTGATTTTGGACAAAGTGTGTAAATATAAATGCAAAGAAGAACACCATACTTTGGACATTTCACCCCACATTGTACATTCTTGTGAAGTGTAGTTCTTGTTTGCATTTTTGCAAGATGAAGGTTCATTTGCAAACAAAAGCTAGGTATGATGGTTCAAAAGGTTAGTGATTTCATATTAAAAATACAGTAAAATTTGGATATGCAGCTGGAAACTGGCGACAAGACAGAAAGACCCATCTTAGAGATCCCTGTGTTTACTTTTTTGCTGCGTGCAATTTTCTACTATTCGTACAGTGATGTTTAAGAAACATATTTTGGGAGGTAAACCAGGCATGTCTAATGTTAGAGATGCCTTAAGATTGTCACTTGTCGGCTCTCTTTGGGCCAGGACTTGCTGCCTTTTCACCTTTCACAGCATATTTACTACCAGATTGATTGTAAACTGGAGAGGTATACTCGTTTAATTAGATGAAATCTTGGGTAAAGTTTGGACATTTACCTGCTTCAGTCTTCTCTATGGCCTATGAATTGCTTCACTCTCTGCATTTTGGAATTTAATTCTGTGTTCTTTGTATGGTTGAACATTTGTTATTTTTCAAGTACCATATGTTGCCTTCTCTTTGTCGTTTGACCTTTGTTTCTACTTGAGAACTTATGTTAACTATTTGTTCATGATTGATTGTAGGTTTCTTTGTAACAATCTATGTAACTGCTTTCATGTACAAATCAAATGATATTCTCCGAAAACAGACAGCTTTAAAGGTATGAATTCCACCGATACTAAATGATGCAAAATGCGCTTTAATGGTCTCCTTCCAAGCTTAATGATTGGTGAATTTTGCAGGGGGAGAGAAAATTATCTGTTCTTGTTGGCTATAGTATAATTTTTATGCTTCATGTGATTGGAGTATACTGGTGGTATCAGAACGATGATCTTAGTTACCCATTGTTCATGGTTCCTCCAAAAGCAATACCACCATTCTGGCACGCTATATTTATAATAATCATCAATGGTATGAAAATTATTTGATTATTGCTTCTTTAATGAAGGGTTTATGGTGTGACACAAATAGCTCCTTTATTGTTATTTGTTTCACTTAATCAAGCATTAGTTTTTATGGTAGATGACCTTAAATGCCTCTGCCGTTAGCTCATCAAACATAATTATCAAAACCATTTGGTAACTCGACTTCTGAACAGATTTTCACCCAGCCCAACTTAGCCAACTGATCACCTTATCAAAACCAAAACAAACAGAAGTAAAGCATCACTCTGCTCTCCTGTCCCCTATCAACCCATCCATAATCGTTAGGGTCTTAATACAATTAATCTTGAAATTTGTACTCACCAATTTGCGTTAGGTTCCAGAACAGTGAGATTGGAATAAGAAAACAATCATTTGATGATTAATTCCAGCAATAACCATTCATCCATATTTGATGTTCATCAAACTTCTTCATGTCAAAATGTACGTGTCCTTGGAATCTAAACCAGATGGATTGTAATTTGATCCAGTATTATATATGTTTAGTAGATTTTAGTTGAGAAAATACATAATCACAAACTATATAAACGGTATCCGAGTGGATATTATCCCCTCTATCATGATTTCATTTGTTGAGTATCTCATCGTTTAAGGACAATTTATTGCCTGCAGATACGATGGTGCGTCAGGCAGCGATGACTTTCAAGTTGGTACTGCTTATGTACTATAAGAATGGCAGGGGCCATAATTTCCGTAGACAGGTAAGGTGATGTAACTTAATTTATGTACTACTTCCTCCGTCCCAACATAAGTGTCCACATTTCTATTTTAGTTTGTCCCAAAATAAGTTTCTACTTTTCAATTCTACTCTTAATTATGAGATGGAGAAATTCTTTACCCCCTCCCGTCAGTAAGGGTAAAATCGTTATTTAGTTAATTAAAAAGTGTAATAGTTAACATTTATAAAATTGTGTGCCTTTCTCGTTGTGGACATTTATTTGGGACGTAGGAGTATAAGTATGGCAGGGGGCCATAAGCTGCGTGATATGGTTTCAAACATGTTTTCAGAACTTCCTAACATGGACTTTTGGTATCTAGGGTCAAATGCTGACTCTGGTAGAGTACGCCCTGTTGTTATACCGTGCATTCTTGCCTGCTCCAGTTTGGTACCGATTCTTTTTGAACAAAGAATACGGGAGCCTGTTTTCTTCTTTGATAACAGGGTTATATTTAACTTTCAAGCTTACATCAGTGGTGGAGAAGGTATGCATTGGCCTGAATTTTGTTCTTCTTTTTTACTCATGAATTTGTGAAAAAAGAGGATGTGATGGCCATGTAAATTATCAGCAGCAAGCACCCAATGTGCATGTTGCAAAGCACACTTTTTTCACATGGTACAACTAGTTTATGCAGTATTTCAATGAACCAAGGGCCAGTTTGGTTTGCGGGATTTTGTGGGATTTGGTTGGATTTGGAATTGGGTGCCATTCCAATCCTGCATTTGGTTTAAAGGGAAGTCCAAAATTGAAATCCAACGAACATGGGATTTAGAAATCCCATTGGAGTAGTTGGTATTTTGCGGGATTTCATAGAATTTGTTTGTAATAATGTTAACAAAATATGTTAAGAACACCTTTTTTTTGAACTAATCAATCAATAAAAAGGTAATTTAATTTTTTTATAATTTGTTTTAATAAATTATTTTAAACAAAGGAATTCAATTCTGTTCGAAATCCTACAAACCAAACACACAAAGATTCCAAATGCTTAATCCAAATGCCTCAAAAACATTCCGTCAAACCACACAGTCGCTAAATGGATTTTCTCTCTCTTTGTATGCAGGTTGGATCCTTCTATGCTGCATTGAAGGCTTTATCACGAAAAGAAATGCATTATGGATCATATGCAACATCAGAACAGGTGAGATAATAAGGAGCTCTGTGGTATGAGATGCTAAAATGCATTAGTTTTCTTCTTGCAATGGCCCAAATCAATCCAACTTGTTGTCTTTTGGCGAAAATTTTAATCTTTAGTTTCCTTGCTGACCACTAGTAATCATTACGAAGCATATATGGCGTTGATTTAAAGTTCATGAGATTTCTCTAGTTCTTGTTGTCGAGGGTATTTCAGATATTCAACTAATTAATAACAATTCAAGTATATAAACCTAATCAGGAGTTCTTGGACTAGGGTTGCGGACTGGGGATGTGGATCTATACAGGAGGAAGGGAGCTGGAGGGTAGGGGTAGTGAGTCTGTAGTTAGGTTATACCAGGACCTAAGCAGTTAACACGGTCATTATCTGAAATCACGGTCAAGACCTTGTTTGATATAGCGATTATCGCATTGGTAAAGCAGTAAAACATAATTGGGTTTATATAATGAAATAAAAATATGTATACATATAAAGAAGTACAGAACTTTTTTTTTTGTAAGGGTGTCCGGGCCAAAGCCCGACTAATCCCYGRCAAWTTTGRAGGCTAAACATGGCCCCACTTAAATGTCGCCAACACTCCCCTCCCAGGGCTCGAACTCGGGTTCATGACTATGCCATGCCCAAGCCTTTACCACTAGGCTGGAAGGTCTTTGACGAAGTATAGAACTTATTGTATTGCATATGTAAATATGTCTAATACGTATCATGCAAGGTGAAACAGATTAAGCCCCACACAAGCAACATAGAAATCGAGTTTGTAAAGGTTATGGAAGAGCTACTTGCACTAGTGGTAAATCACAGTCAAATAGCATATATACGTCTCTCTTTCTATTGGTATTGGTATTGGTATTGCTATTGCTATTGCTATTGCTTATATTCATTTTTTAGTTTTTCAAATTTTTGGACATGTATTTCTCCCATCAGACACTTTTCACTTGTCGGGGGCTGTCACATAAACAACCGCCCTACTCTGTACAGTAGAGGTCAAGTCTGCATTGATCTTCCCTCCAACCCCACCTCCGGGTGGGATATACTGCCCAAACCAAACCAAACAAGCCCAATATATCCCACCTGATGTGCTGTCGGGGGTATGATGTACACAAACGTGACCTCTACCTCAAAGAGTAAAGTGGCTGGTTAGTGAAAACCCTCGGCTTGTGAAAAGAACGTTTTAACCTCTACCCCCGAACTTTTAAAGTATTCTTTTTGTATGTTTTGTGTTTTCATATATATTGTCCTGTACTTGTAGCAGGTAAGTGAGGCAGGAGACATGTGTGCTATTTGCCAGGAAAAGATGCAAGCCCCAATATTGCTATGTTGCAACCATATCTTCTGTGAAGACTGTGTTTCAGAATGGTTAGATTCTCCTTAAACTATACTCTCCTCTACATATGCATATGTATGTTTATACATACATTTATAGAGGAGCGATCAAATGAAAACCACCCTCATTTGTAAAAACCGTACAAACCACCCTCATACTTCGATGTCATTGTTTAATCTTATGAAATTTTTTCATGAAATTGTTTAATCTTATGAAATTGTTTCATATAATACTTTTTTTGATGAACTTGTTTCATATATGGTTATGAAATTGTTTCATATAATATTTAATGACACTGTTTCATGTATTTCTCTAAAATTAAAATAATAAAGATGATAATATCCATGATTAACACCCTCCACAACAAAAATGGTTAATTAATCTCTCATAATTACAAAAAAATGAACAAAATGAAAAATTATGACTGGTTGAATGAGGTTTTCACAGTTTTTACAAATTGAGTGGTTTTTATTTGAACGCTCCCCTACATTTATACATACATACATACATGTATATATGTGTGTGTATATATATATGCTTATTTTATGTATTATGTATACAAGGGAATGTATGCATTTAGCAACTTTATGGTATGGAAAGCCAAGGGATGTTAATGCAGCCTTTCCCTATATAGCAAAGTTTATCGATGTTAACCACAAGGGTGGTGCCTGATTGGTTTGAGCTTGGCTCCAAAGGTCAAAAGTACCAGGAGGACCCAGGTTCAAATCCAAGGAGGAATAAAACTCCCCTTGTGGCCACGGAGGTTCAAACGCGGTGACTCTGGGCTATCTGCAAAGCAAGTGGTCGTCCTGGGATTAGTCGGCTCGCATAGTGGGTAGGATATCGAGGTTAATAAAAAAAAAAGTTTATGGATGTTATTTGTAATATTTTCAGGTTTGAGAGGGAGCGAACATGCCCGTTATGCAGAGCTCTGGTAAGACCAGCCGATATACGATCATTTGGCGATGGTTCAACCAGTCTTTTCTTTCGCTTGTTCTAAACTTCCTTCCTTCTTGAAAATGCTACTGCTACACATGGAGTTTCGTTCGTATTATTCGATTATAACGCTAATATTCTTTTCTCTTTTTCCAAGTTGTACAGCCGAGCTTTCCATGTATGTATTCTCATCCTATATTATTAACAATATTAATACGCAAGAGACGAATACTTCCATCTTTTTGGATCTTTGAAATGCCTTCTCTTCCTGTTCCACATATACACAAGTTTTGTACAATTATGGTTATTCTAGAGTCGCAATCCTGGAAACAGACCTGAAAGTAGGCATGAATCAAAGCGCGTTTGGTCTAGCGATATCTGGTAATTCAATCTTTCTAGAGACCACGGGTTCGAACCCCACCTTTAGTGAGGCGTGTGTTTTGCCGTATATAACTATAATATACTTTAGAAGAGAGAAAAATAGGGTTGAATTAGCAGGCCAGAAACTATGAAGTTTTTTTCTGGATGATGGCATAATTTGATCATAATATTAGTAAAGATTGGTTCATGAGAGTGGTACCAAATTGAGGCAATCTCTGGATACTAGATATAACCTCAAAATAACGAGGGTCAAGGTCGGCCAGTGAGATGATAATGATAAGCTTCATTATCGAGAGGGAAACAGTCCGGATCACCGGCTAATGCCCCTAAATGAGTCAAAATCACAGTCGGAACCGTATATGGATTGAACTATTGAACTTTTATTCGAAACCACATGTGACTCGATCTAAAATGTGATGCATGGAAAGCGTTGATATAGTGTTTCATGGTACACAAAATGTGGAAAATGGTAGTATATAACATAGACTTGGGATCACATGAGACTAAGGGTTTTTGGTGAGACCCTAAGACCAATTCTTAACCTTTGGATTATATCTATAATATGAACATTCATAATCACAAAATTGTCACGAGGCTTCTCAATAATCACAAAATTGTCCCCGTACAACTTTAAACCATTAGATCATTAGCTTATAAAGTTGATGACGAAAAACCTTTCGTCTCATGTGAACCTAACCCATATAACATAATTAAGTTAAAATACATATTAAAGTGTTAATTAAAATTTTAAAAACGAATATAAAAAACAAACGATTCATCAAACTCTGAAGTATCATAAATGTGATAAACTAACTAACAACACCAATTCAGTAGTTATAGATGTTCAAATCATATATAATCCACATCTATAGCACCAAACTGCATCATATCATACAGCTTAGAACTTTTATGATGAGAATTATTTTATACTGTATTATTATATGTTTTGGGTTACTGTTTTGAATGAGTTCAAACCTCATCACACCGTATGTATATTCATACTTATTAAATGATTTATATAATCATCTCTTATATTTTGTTATTTAAAAATATTTATTATCACTAATTAAATTATAAATAGTCCAATAAAAAATAAATATCAGAACAAGTATGTAAGCTTTTGTAAGTAGAAGTCTGTTAGCTTTTTTGAAAATTGTAAGTCAATTAGTTATTTTGAAATTAGGCGACTTTTTGACTTAGGGGCTGTTTACCAAATTTTCCATTAAGTTCTGTATGGATAAATTTGTCCGTCTAGATAAATTTGTCTGTCTAGATAAAAGTTTATTGTTGTTTACTTTTTTACCTATAATGACCAATCTACCCCTCAAACTCAAACCAAAAATCTGCTGTTCATCAAACCAAAAATCCAAAACCGATTCGATCAAAAAAGATGCTCGATGGGGGCCTGTCTTATGGAACACAGATGATGATTTCCCAAAATCTGTTGGATCAAAATAGTAAAGTGGTAAATCTGTTGGAGAAGACGATTTGCTCCAACCAGACATGAAATCTTCGGGGAAGATAATGGGCTCCCAAAATCTGTTGAAGAAGCCAATGGGCTCCAACCAGGCATGAAAACTCTGGGGAAGACGATGTGCTCCAACCTGTTAGAGAAGACGATGGCTCCCAAAAGCTGTTGGAGAAGACGATGGCTCCTAAAAGCTCTGGGGAAGACGGTGAGACTCGAACCAGTCCTAGACCTGAAATCGCCAAGAGTCCCTCCCGTCGAACAGGAAAACCTTCCCTGAAGTTGGAAACTCTTACCTCTTTTGCATCGATCTAGTTTTCTCTCTCACACTCCATTCGTTGCTCTCTATCTCTCGTCTAGGGTTATGAAATGAAAGAGGGGGTGGGATTGAAAGGGGAGGCATGGGATGAGGGGTATAATTGTCAATATTTTGGCTTAATGGGGACAACACACCCCTTCCCTACTGTGCGAATAAGCCAACATATTTATCATTAAGCCGCAAGTAAACATCCATATATGGCTGTGCTAATAAGCCAAAACAACCATTAAGCTGATTAAGTCAAAAGTAAACACCCCCTTAGGAAGTTGGGAGAATCTAATAGGCCGTTTACCAAATACTTACCGGATAAGTGCTTACTGGTAAAATTCAGCATTATCACTTTCTTACCCGGTAAGTTTTTAGTCCATCAAAACGGCATTGGATGGAACAATTTACCCGGTAAGTGTTAACCGTGGTAAGAGTCGTCATTCTCACTTACCGAGCAAGAGTCTTGGTCCTTTGCCATTTTCATCCGGTAAAGTAATGTAATTTGGTAAACACTTACCCGGATAAACGTTTGGTAAACGGTTCCTACGAGAAGAGCAGCGACTGATACGCCATTTCACTTCATCTCAATTTTGAATTTCTCAGCGTCTTGTTATTGTGTATTGCCATTTTCCATTTCGTATTTTATGGAGTATGGTCAGAATATGCAATTTCGTATTGAATGAAACATAGAGTTATAAAACTTTGTATTGTCATTTTACGCGCATCATGTTTAGGCATAAACCGCACCGTATTTTGCCGTTTGACTGTTTGAGACATCCGTAGCTTGATTTGTAGTAAGAAAAAAAAATACTCAAACTGTATATGTATTTTGGTTTGCGATTTTAACCGTAAACCACACTAGAAAACACTTGTACATCGTTATGGACCATTAAAACTAATGAATTAATGACTAAATAATTAATTTTTAGTTAATAAATATAAAATACGCAATTATATATAAAAACAGATTAATAAAAATAATATTTTTTTATTAACCTCGATATCCAACTCGCTATGCGAGCCGACTAATCCCAGGGCGACCACCTGCTTTGCAGATAGCCCGGAGTCATAGCATTTGAACCTCCTGGCTACAATGGGATTTTTATTCCTCATTGGATTTGAACGTAGGACCTCCTGTTACTTTTGACCTTTGGAGCCAAGTTCAACCCAATCAAACACCACCCTTGTGGTTAACATCCATAAACTTTGCTATATAGGGAAAGGCTGCATTAACATCCCTTGGCTTTCCATACCATAAATCGTATGAGTTTGAGATTAGATTGCATTTGGACAAAACAATACATAAATAATTTATTTAAATAAACTATTTTCAAGTTTAAAATATTAAATAAATGACAAATTACATGAAAAAGTAACATATTTTAATTTGATTCTTATTTTAAGTAACATACTTTCAAAACTTTCATTTGGGTACCTAAGATGTAAAGTTTTAAACATTTAAGTGTATGGGTAAATGGTTGAAGCATAAACCGATTACCATGTTAATGTGTCGAGTGATGTCGTATTCAATTAATGTTTCAACAAATAATACTAAATTAGAAGTTTTAAAAGTATGTTATTTTTTCATACAATTTGCTCTTAAATAAAAATCAAAGTTGTTTAATAACAGAGTGAAAACTCCATATTCAAATCGAATCAATCTCATTAAGCTTAGATTATCTATGTTTTTTAATTATGAAAAAAAAAAAATTGAAGTTTATAGTTTATATTTCTCCTTTATAAACCATATTTAATTTTAAGAAACTTAAATATTATTTGTAAGGTTACATTTGGTATATGGGACATGATATGATAAAACTTATTGTCACATTCGGTATGGCATGGAACATGACAAAAATTTATTATCTCACGTTTGAGATAACATGAGACAAGGACAAGAACTGAGATTGAACAAAAGTTTTTTTATAGGACAAAAATAAGACAAAATCTAAAAAACTACCAACATATTCTTATTTGATATAATCCTAATATGATATATATACTATTTTATTAAACAAATTTAGCAAAAGTCTTAAAGTCTTAAAATTTTAAATGACCAAAATACCCTTTATATTCACTTTTTCACCCACTTCTCTTCTCACATACACTCACCCCCTCACATACACTCATCATCTCACAACCGATTTTTTAAAAATTATAATTTTAAATTTACACTTTATACCCCTATAATTAATTTATTTATTTTACGTCATTTACTTTTAAATGTTTCATTTTAACATTTATCAAATTAACATACATAATCGTATATCAATTAAAACATGTTTAAAAAATACATTTTTATTTTAACAAGTTACACAATTATAATCATCTCGATAATACCTTCGAAATGAATCCAATATTGAATAGTTTTTGACTTAATTATATTATTATATATATTGTTAAAAAAATATTTTTAATATTTACGATTTATATTTTTATAGTTATTTATTTTTATATATACTATATATTTTAGGGTTAGGCTGTCCAAATTGCACTGTATAATATGTTTTGAATTAATATGTTCTTGGGTTTTTTTTGAAATATATATATATACATGTATTAATTCAACCTTAATCTGAGTTTCTGGACAAGAAAGAGGGTAAACAGTTGAAATTTCATTCTAAAACTCATCTTTTTTTGTCTTTTCATGGCTTATGATCTGTCAAATTTGTAGTTTTTTTTATTGGTTTTGAGTGTTTATCTTAAAACTCAAGTTTYTTKGTTCTTTGCTCTTGGTGTAAATCGAATAYATTTGTGGAGTCGTTTAAATATGTTGGATTTTAAATATATTGGATTTTAAACTGTCATACAATTTTTTTCATCGATAGTCTGTAATTGGAACTATAACTCTTATTTATTCAAATTGTATTAATATGTGAAGACCAAGTGTAACCTATATCATCGTTAAATCTTATCTTATAAAACCAGTGGAACTTCAAAATCGTTAAAATTCATGGCTCTCGCCGCATTGCGCGGGTACACAACTAGTTTGTTTATTAGTCACTGTCACCCATCATCGTCGCTGCCACCACCGCAACCAGCGACCACAATCAATCAACCATAGACAACTACCTCCTCCACAACCACCGTTGGGCCACCTCCACCCTAATAGCCGCCACCACCTTCAACATGTCGACCACAACTACCTCCTTTGTCATTTGCAACAACGACTACTATCGACTATTTTTACATCCTCCATGATCATTGTCGTCCACTAGCCACTACCACCTCTATGTCCCCCACCATTGTCGTTGTAACAACCTCCATTGGTGCCTCTTGTCCACCGTCTTTACATCCTCCACAATCACCATTGTCCACCACCACCGGCTACCACTACCACCGATCACCATCATCTCTACCTCTATCACCTCTACCTCCACCACATCAGCCAATACTACTTTGTCCATCATTGTCGACCGCCATTACTGTCCACAATCTCCATCATCCACCACTCACAATTACCTCTAACACCCACCATCATTATCGTTGCAACAACTTACCCCCGTGTCCCTCCAAACCAATGAAATAAAGTTTTTCCTTTGTAAGAACCGAGTTTTTTCGAACTATCATCAATTATATCAAATTTATCATTCAAATTTGATATCATTATATATGTATGCATAAGAAATTGTGTACAAAAGTACCAAGAGGTCCAAAGGTTCAAATCCAAGGAGAAATAAAAATCCTTTTATGGCCACACAGGTTCAAATGCGGTTACTCCGGACTATCTGCAAAGTAAGTGGTCGTCCTGAAATTAGTCTGCTCGCATAGCGAGTTGGGTATCCAGGTTAATAAAAAAAAAAGAAATTGTGTACAAATTAAATCATTTAAATATTTACTTGATTTGTCTAATTTATGGCTATCACATGAATAAAATCTTCAAATACTTCTTAGGGGCAATTTTTTTAATCATCCTATCCGGCTCTAGTTTTAACAAACACCAAACAAACAACTTGTCATGTTCAGTAATCATGTCATCTTGTTCATTAGTCACATCATGTCCAATCTTATACTTTTTGTCTAATACTGTCCTATCACATTCTGGTAAAGTCCTGTCCAGTTCAAAACATGATTTTTTTTTTCAGGGTTGATTTCACCTACTAATCATTTTCTTTTAAAGTTTACTAAAATAGCCACAGGTCCGCAAAACTCACGTCCATAATTGCGGACCCAGTTAAAAAGACAAAATATTACACTTTCTACCCCCTGTCTACAAAAAGGATTACATTTTTCACTCAGATACGTAAAAAAAATACATTTTTCACCAAGTCCGCAAAAATTACGAACCTAGGACTAATTTGGTAAACCTTATAAAGAAGTGACTAAAAAGTGAAAAAATCGATAAAATCACTGTTTTAACTAATTACTCATTTTTATCCATCTTGGATTTATCGTCCCGCTTTCATTTTAGGAGGTGTATGAGATTGTTTATTTGAAACAACTTATACTTTTCTAAAAAACATTTATTAACTTATTATAAATCAAAAGAGTTTAACTTCTTAAAAAACTTTTTATTACCGATTTTACACGTATATAAAAACAATCAAAAACACCCCGTTAGTAAGAAGCGAGATTGCAGCCAATGGGACGCAGATGGTTTTGGATAGTTTTGAGTCGACTATTATGAACCGACGTCATTTAGGTGAAGAACACCGTGGAGTACTTAACGGCCATATAATCTAAATCTCCGACAGTGGACGGAGAAACAGACCGGTGGTTGTTTACACTCCGAATTCTACTCGGACTCTTGATTTTGGTTGCTGATGCACAATCATTTTGAAAAAAATAGATTCAATTCTCGATGATTATGAGCATGGCTGTAGTATATAACCACTTCGTGTTCCCTGGCCGACCGGCGCTTCTGAAGTTCCCAGTGGTCGAACTGAAACCATCGCCGTCGCAGTGCGAACGTGAGAGACAAGGACGTTTATATATCAAAACTGCCGCATCTTCTTCATTCGCTGGCTCCGGCGCTGAATATTCCGGTAATTACTGCTCCCTCCATCTCCATAAAGGAATTTTTTGCTGAAATTTTGGAAATTATGGGGATAGTTTGCTCCGTTGAGATGTAATTCGCTCCAAATTCTTCTGATGTTGATAAATTCCCTTTTGCTTAAATAAATATTAGAGAATGTTATAAACCGATGGATAGAAACACAGTTTGAAATGCCTAATATGGCACAACTGGTGATAATGACGAAACTTCTTTGGAAAACCAATGTGGAGCTTACTATAATCATATGTATGGAAGAATGAAAAATAACCCTTCTCCAGAAGTTGGAATTGAGTAAGATATGAACATATTTCGTTTGCCAAAAGATAAATTTTAACCAAGTAGTATGAAATATCGTTGAAATTTTCTTTGCCAAAGCATTAAGGATGCCTAGCAGGTTAATACCCTCTGGTAGCATCAGCATATGGGGGTCCAGAAACAGTGTTCATTGCTTTGTTGCTAACAGACACTGGTTCACTTCAACCAATGTGTTCATCCAGTCCAATGGGTGGGATGCAATGAACTGGAAAGTTGTTTGGTTACTTTGTATATTGATGATTGATATGTTTATTTTTGCCCATTCTCGATCACTTAGCCATTTTCCATCAATTACTTGTGGTTCCTGTTTAAATTTTTTTCCCTGGAACCGAATGTCAGTTTCTTTTACTTGTGTCCTGTCTGTAACTCATTTGTTGCTGGGATACATATCTACTTGAAAGATAGATGATTGCTTCCTCGGCCAAACCCTGATGTGACAATGGTTTCTAGCAGAAAATTACTAGCTCGGTTAATGTGTCCCGTGACAATAGTTTTTAGCATTAATAACAAGAGAAAACGAACAACAAAATAGTTTCTTTAAACTGCAAGAATTAGTCCATCAAGAAATTACAACGGCTTGCTTCTAATTCTTCATTGAATCCAGAATTTTGATAATTGATGGGATGTCATTTTAGTCATTTCCAGAATCGTTGTCCAAAGACCAGAAGAAGAAAGGGAGGAGAATAGTTGGCATAGACCAGGATGAACTAGTGGATCCTAAACTTTTGGCTGACCCAGACAGTTGCTTCTGTGAGTTTCAAGGGTTGCAACTACACCACAAGATATTTGATCCAGAATCCGAAGCACAAGACCTTTTACATGATGAAGCCGCCTCTGGTTTATCTTACCAAAAGGAAAAACTTAGGTTCCCGCTGATCTTATTACATGGCTTTGGAGCCTCTTTGTTCTCTTGGAATGCAGTTGTGAAGCGTTTGGCAAAGGTTGCTGGTTCGAAAGTTTTATCATTTGATAGACCGGCCTTTGGGTTGACATCAAGGGTAGATAATCCTTTCAAACATGCTCCGTCTGGTGGTAGCCAGGATAGAAAACCACTTAACCCGTATTCTATGGCATTCTCTGTACTGGTAACTTTGTACTTTATCGACTTCTTGGCTGCTGAAAAAGCGATACTGATCGGGTAAGCACAGTTCCTCGTCTTTGTATCTGCTTCTCTCTTGACTCACTCATGATAATTCTTTTATTAAGTTCAATTTTACGTAAAGCTCATTTTTGGCTACCGTAAGCTAGCTTCTTTTTGAGCTTATTGAAAAAGCCCCAATTGATTAGCCATAAGCTAGCAGATAAACTAGCTTATTGAAACGCCCTCCAGGGGATTTTTCTTCTTTTATTCAGTTAAGCCTCTTTTATTTTACATTGTCATCTAGCCTATTAGGTTATTTTACATTGTCATCTAGCTTTTAAATTACTTTTACCAAACATGATTAGCTTATTGGCTAACAATTAGTTTATTAGCCAACTACTAGCTTACAGTTAGTTTGCCAAACATAGCCAAAGTGTTTCAAGTGATTAAATATTATGAAATATATATGATGGAATTGGACTAATCTTTTGAAGACCAATGGTAATGAGATACAGGCATTCGGCTGGTTGCCTTGTAGCAACTCAAACATATTTTGAAGCACCTGAACGTGTTGCTGCCATGATTCTTGTCGCCCCTGCAATCATAGCTCCATTGACTTCCCCCAAGAAAGTCAAAGCTAATGACCAACAAGGCAGTTCAAGTTCAGATAATCGCAAAAATCCAGTTTTCAATCTGTTGAGTATCGTGTCGAAATTCTCCAGATTCATAGCTCAAACTGTGATGCATTTGGTTAGAGGAATGGTCAATATGCTTGATTCCCTGTACAAGAAAGCTTTATCTGCCTTCCTTCGCTCCTCTATTGCAGTAATGCTGGTAACTGGACTACTTTTATGGGAATTCATATGTAATCTAATGGTGAAATCTCAGTTTAAATCGCAAATCCTGAATATGTTTGGTTGAACTCTAACTTCAGTTTTGCCTTCTTGTTAGGTAAGGATGGTTATAGATAAATTTGGGATAACTGCCATTAAAAATGCTTGGTATGATGCAAGCCTAGTTACCGACAGCATTCTTGAGGGTTATACCAGAGTAAGCATGTTTACTTGTTACTCCCTCTGTCCCAAAAGATTCCTTTTATTTTAGAAATTCAAATCTAGTTCCTTCTGAACTCACATGTTTGGCTTTTCATTGCAAACTGACCATCGTTACGCAAGAACGTCGAAGAGATTACTATGGTTAAAAAACTTTGAATTAAATGTAGTTATCGTCTTCTTTTGACACAGAAAAATAATCTTAGTGAATTTTGAAGTTCAAAGGTGGACTTTTTGGGATGAATGTAGTAATAATTTGTTTTGAGTTGAAATTGTTCGCATCTGTTTTGATCCTTTCGTGATTTGTTTGCAGCCATTGCGAACAAAGGGTTGGGACAGGGCTCTTGTGGAGTTCACGGCAGAGATGCTTGCTAGCTCGGTTCCTGAACCAAATCCGGCATGGCCAGAAAGATTGAAAGAAATCTCATGTCCAGGTTCACATGCTTGCCCCCATCCTTTTTGGTGTTCTATTTTATAAATGTATCGATTGAAATTTAAAATTCTCACATAATTCAAGTTATATACCAAGTAAGGCTATGTTTGGCAAATTAGCTGATAAGCTAGTTGTTGGGTAATAAGCTGACAACAATCGGCTGTTGGGCGTTGGCACATAAGTTGGTTGTTGGGTAATAAGCTGACAACAACTGGCTGTTGGCACATAAGTTAGTTGTTGGGTAATAAGCCAAGTGATAAACTAACTGACAATGTAAAATGACCCAAAAAACATGTTGAAAATTAATTAAAAAATATATTAGGGCATGATTGGAGAAAAGTGAAAAAAAGCTCGTGGAGCTTATTGAGACGCTACTTAAGAAGCTAGTGAACCCAGATGGAGTTTTTCAATAAGATCCATAATTAATCCAACTTATTCATAAAAGAACAATTTGAGCTTGGTACTATTTGTCCATTTAACATTTCATTTTCTGGGTCCCATTTACATGGTAGGAGAAAAAAATATGATTAGTAGGTCCCATCTCCAAATCAAAGATAAGTTGCACACAATGGACAAAACAACAGTGAAGAAAGGAAAGTAGTATAACCAAATAGAACCTATTTAAACCTTAGAACAAGGCTATGTTAAGAGACTCATTATTTTGCACTGACCAAATGAAACAGTTCTAATCGTGACGGGTGATAGTGACCGTCTCGTACCATCTTGGAACTCCGAGAGGCTTTCTCATGCCATCCCCGGATCTCGCCTTGAAGTAGTAAAGAAGTGCGGTCATTTGCCTCATGAAGAAAGGCCACAGGAGTTCGTCACAATTGTTGATAACTTCTTGACAACCGTCTTCCAACGGGTAGAATCACAACCACTGCAACCAGCAATGTAAAAGGATTCATCGACCATCTTACTTTACACGAGGCCAGGTAACGGAAGGATTCAAAATATTGACGATGCTTAAAGTTTTTTGTCGGGTTTTTACAGTACGATGAAAACATTATGTTCGTATTTTGACTTGTTTGGAACTAGGATCAATTGATCTTACCAAACCATCAAATTCAGACATGAAGGCCAATCTTCCATGACACCTACAACTATGGTATCTATATCGCTAGACTACAAACACGTTAAGGTACGTATTTTTCTCCCATACCGACATTATAGAACCCGTAAAAAACATATCTTATATTTTTTACTAGTTATTGATCTTATCTTGACGTCCACGTTTTTATATAACAGAGGCTAGACCAGGAATCCAGGATCATTCAGATAAATGAACTTAAATGAGTCTTCAGTTAGTAGTATTACTTTCCAATTATTTTTCCGCTCAATGACCTTTATATGACATGTCACTGTTCAAAACAATCCGCTCCTGTGAAAACTTAAAAATACACCAAAAGGTCAAATTCAATTAAATTATCACGTACGCTTTTTACATGTACATATTTTTATTCCAATCCAAACCAAATTATCAACCCGACTAACACGTACGGGTTGGGTTGGGTTGGGTTGGGTTGGGTTGGGTTAGGTTAAGATTTTTCATACCGCAAGCATTGTGTTGGGTTGTTCAAATGTCTTTAACTTGATCAACCCAACCCATAAACCCCCTAGGATCACATCACAAGACAAAAAAACGTCCTACACACGTGGTTTGTTGGCCGTACTTCAAAAGAAGCGCAAAAGTAAAAGGAAAGAACAGTAAAGGCAACCAAACTCATCGTTATACACCTTTTCTTTTTTCTTATAATCATTGTTTGCTCTTTTAATCAAATTAAACCAAACGGAATCGGTATATCCTATCTGAAGTAGGGTCTAAAAACATGATCGTGAAAATATATGGAACCCTAGAACACTTAGGGGCCGTTTACCTAAACACTTATCCGATAAGGGCTTAACGGTAAAATTCAACTCTATCCTCTTACTTATTGGGTAAGATTTTGTCTACCAAAACGACATCGTATGTAACAATTTATCCAATAAGCGCTAACCGTGGGAAGAGTCGTTGTCATCACTTACCCGGTAAGACTTTCGGCCCGTGTATTTGCTCTTATCATGTAAGATTTTTGGTCATTACCATATTCATCCGGTAAGGAAATATGACTTGTTAAGCGTTTACCCGAGTAAATATCTGGTAAACGGTCCCTTATTCTCTCTTCAAAGCTTTTTTTAGAGTAGTATAGAGGTTATACATATTCTCATATGGTATCAGAAGCAGACCTACGACTTTAAAATTTCAACCATTTTTAGGTCAACCTCTATTCGTCCAGCCCTCTCTAATATTCTATACATATTCTCTTTATGTATTATGTACCCTATGTATGAGTACTTTTTTTTATTAACCTGAATATTCAACTTGCTATGCGAGCCGACTGATCCCAAGACGACCACCCGCTTTGCGGGTAGCGTGGAGTCACTGTATTTGAACTTCCATGGCCATAAAGGGATTTTTATTCCTCATTGGATTCGAACTTGGGACCTCCAGGTACTTTTAATCTTTGGACCTTAAGCTCAAACCAATCAAACAGCACCCTTGTGGTTTATATGAGTATTTTTATACATCCTCTAACAAGGTTCTAACCATCTAGTTACAAACTAATGAGTTGTACAAAGACATTAAAATAAATATAAAAATAGTACAAGTATGAAAGTTGAAGTACAAGTAAACCTAATACTCTCAACACTCGGATTTATGTTCAACCAAGACGTCGACACGTCCTTTTTTCCCCTTCAACTACCATTAATTTACATATGCACCCCCTTACATTTACATAGCCACCCCTTAAAGTTATGTCAAAGACCTTCCAGCCTAGTTGTAAAGGCTTGGGCATGGCATAGTCATGAACCCGAGTTCGAGCCCTGGGAAGGGAGTGTTGGCGACATTTAAGTAAGGCCATGTTTAGCCTCCAAATTTGCCGGGGATTAGTCGGGCTTTGGCCCGGACACCCTTACAAAAAAAAAAGTTATGTATTGACTGCATACTTTTACACAAGTCAAAATTTGATTGGAGGAACAAGGAAACTAGAAAGGAGTAACGGTGAGTGGTTTCCCATTGGAAGGGGTATATTTTAAATTGGATCATTTTCTTCTCAATATATATCGGAAACCTCCTATCCTCATAGGCTTTTTTTTGGAGTAATATAACTGGGTTTCACATATTTTCACGATGATGTAAGCAACATTTTTTTAACTCGGAATAGAGAGGTTGTTTGTGAAGACCTTCGACTTATGAAAAATATTATTGCTCATAATTCTAAAAAGAATATTCCTTCAGTCTCAAAATAAATGTCCACGATGAAAATGACACAGTTTTAAAAATGTGGAATCATTGCATTTTTTAATCAATGAAAGGACAACTTTACCCTTAATTATATTGAAAGAAATTTTATCCGTCTCATAATCAAGGGTAGATAGGGAAAGTTTGGTGACATTTCGACAAGTCTGTTGAAGATTCAGTGATCGGTTTTTACCTGTTGAGTCGTCTATGATATTTTAGTTTTCGACTTTCATCTTAGGATGTTAATTGGTGTTTGAAGTTCATGTGTGCTTCGTGTTTTTGTGCACTAACGATTTTAGTAAAAGTTTGCGATTCAATTTGAAACAACCTCTGTCAGTAAGCAACGACGACATCTATCATCCTTTGATTAGTTACGTGATTTATGGTTGTTTCAAGTTTCAAACATAATTGCTATTATCTCGATATTTCAATTTTTACAAATGTCGAGTCAATAATACACCACGTTGTAGAAGTGTTTAGCCCAATAATGGGGCTGAGATTGAACGCATAGAGTTGTTGGTGTTTTTTATTAACTTGGATATCCAACTCGTTATGTGAGCCGACTAATTACAGGACGACCACCTGCTTTTTAGGGTCACATTTTTTAGTAAAGAGAAATTAGAGCATTTTCAATCTTACTCCCCACATTTAATCTAATCTAATCTAATCTGGCGTGAGAAGCAAAATACCACATTACTTTAATAATTTTTTCATATTTAACTCCCTGCATATGGTTAAAAGAGCCAATAAGTAGGCATGGCAATGGGGCGGGTTTTGTAATCATCGGCCCCGGTTTTTAATAACAGCCTTCGGACTAGGCCCCAATCCCCGACGGGTACAGGGATTAACATCCCCTCCCCGGTCAAACCCTGCCCAATCAAACCTCGGTCAAGCCCCATGAAAAATATTCGTTAGTTTGAGTCTACCGAGGATCCCCGACCCCAATCCCGACTTGAGCAACAGCCCCTGGCCTTGGTTTGAGTCTACTGGGGATCCTCGGGACTTGTTTTAGCGGAGAATCCCCATCCCTGTTTGGATCCCATGGGCCGGGTTCCCCACCGGGTCGAGACAAATCACCATCCTTATATATAAGACCCATTGGAGATGCTCTTATATATTTTCTTGGGAGAGGGTTTTGGGCCAACTACTAGACATGGCAACGGGGCGGGGATGGGGCGGGTTTTGTAATCCCCGGCCCGGGTTTGTAGTAACGCGGTCCTCGGTCCCCGACGGGTACGGGGATTATCATCCCGTCCCCGGTCAAATCTCTAGCAATCCCCAGTCAAAACCCGGTAAAACCCCGGTCAAACCCCATAAATAGTTTCTTTTAGTTTGATTCTACCGGGGAGTCCCGACCCTGGTTTGAGTAACATTCCCCACCCCAGTTTGAGTCTACCAGGGATCCCCGGCCCAGGGACCCGTTTTAGCAGGGAATCCCGGTCCCCGTTCGGTTCGGGTGAACCAGGTTCCCCACCGGGTCGAAGCAAATCACCATCCCTACCAACAACCAACTCCCTTTGTGATATGTATTTCAAGATAAGGAGAGCAGGTCTTTGACATTTTAAAGGACATATACAAAAAATTAAATGTGATCCCATATTTTTTTTTTCAATTATTTTATTTATTTCTAAATTAAAAAATAAATCATTTTTAGTTTAGAATATATGTGAAAAGATAAAGTAATTACAACAAAGATTAAAAAAAAAATCAATTTAGTCTTTGAATCGTTAAATTAAATGTTAATAATTTTCCTATGAGGGTTGGGTTCACGTGAGACCAAGGGTTTTTCGTGAGACCCTTAAGACCAATTTATGTTCATTGATCAACTTTATAAGTTAATGATCTAATGGTCTAAATTACACGGTGTCAATTTTGTGATTTTTGAGAAATCTCGTGACGTTTATGAGTGTTTAGATTTTCAGATTGTAGATCTAATCCAAGGGTTGAGAATTGGTCTTACGGGTCTCACGAAAAACCATTGGTCTCACATGATCCCAAGTCTTTCCTATGATTAACTCATGGTAAGAGTACAAGATAAAAGTAATTATATAGCAAGTAAAATGTAAAATATGTAACATAAATACTTCAGTAATAAATTGATATTATTGTAAGTTATTATATGCTCACGACACGTGTCATACATGAATACTGTTAAGAAGTATGCAAACCTATATGATTACATAGAAAGAACATGTTATCCTTCATCTGTAGAAACCTGGGTTAAATCATGTTGATCGTTGAAATAATTATTCTTGGAGGATAATTATGAATATATGTGTTAAAATGTAATTATGATAATTACATATTATTATCTGTAAATGTATAATTATATTGAAGTTTAAGATAAATATATAAATGTTACAAGTAATTACAAATCCTTATTTTGAGTTATGGTTTACTAGTTGTGTACCCGTGCAATGCGGCGGAAGCCGTGAATTTTAACGATTTTGAAGTTTCACTTGTTTTATTAGAGAAGATTTAACGATGATATAAGTTACACTTGATCTTCACATATTAATATAATTTCAATAGATAAGAGTTATGGTTCCAATTACAGTTTATCGATGAAAAAAATTACATGGCATTTTAAAATCCAACATATTTAAACTACTCCACAAATATGTTTGATTTACACCAAAAACAAATAATCAAGAGATCGAGAGCGAGACTGAGAGTTCTAGAGCAAACGAAAAGTGTCAAAAGTATCTTGGTAATATGAAAAGAAAAGGTAATAACGTGCATTGGTAACTTGTACTATATGTTATTTTAATTGTAGATTAAGAGATTTTAAGACTGAATGCATAAAGTAGCAGTACTTAATGCATTATGAGTTATTTTAAAGACTTTTAAGGCTTTGTGCATAAATGTAAAATAACTTTGTGCATTAAAAATTGTTTTTAAGACTTTTGGTAAATCTGGTTTATAAGGTAGTATAGAAGTATAGATATACAAGTCAAATCATATAAATAAGGTGATAGGCTAAATCAATTTCAAGTGATTGAATCATTTAGATTTAGCTGTCAGATAAAGAACACAGAAAGAAAACATATTCTTTTTTGTAATACACACATTAGATCTATGGTTTTAGGCTAGCACCCAGTGGAGGCCATAAGACGTGTTCGTATGTGGACTGCCACAAAGAAAACTTACGTCGGTTTCTAAGTGCTCCGTCAAAATCCTCGTCAGATCTGAAAGGTTAACTCTAAACCCCCCCCCTCCTCATGGTGTGTTTAGAATTTTGTTTTAATTGTCATTCGATCCAGCTTGGATTTTACAGGTTTAGAAAAACTTTCTATAATTGTAACCTAAATTAATTTCCGCTGTGTTTTCAAGGCTACAAAATTGATTTAAAACCCTACAATTACTATGTAAATTTTTCCAAACAGAGTAAAAACAACCAGGTATTACTGTTTTCTGAACATATATAAATCTTCTAACATTTATAGAAGTAAAATCATATTATACTTGCATAATCAAGACTCACTAGAAACTCACTTTCAATCGAAATCAAAATGCAAATATTTGATCTCTTTTGAGACACAGTCAATCACAGATGAAATAAGTTCTGAAAATGAATAAGGAAAACAGAGAAATAATCAACAATCATCGGAAAAAATAATTCAGATCTCATTAAATAATCAAACAAAGTTAATAGAAGAAAAATATTAAAAAATAAAATACATAAAGAAAGGATTTTTTTTATTAACCTGGATATCCAACCCGCTATGCGAGCCAACTAATCCCAGGGTGACCACCTGCTTTACAGATAGCCCGGAGTCACCGCATTTGAACCTTCATGGCCACAAGGGGATTTTTATTCCTCATTTGATTTGAATCTGAGACCTCCAAGTACTTTTGACATTTGGAGTCAAGCTCAAACCAATCAGACACCACCCTTGTAGTTAAGAAAAGGATTTAATATTATCATAAACTAAAATGTATACCTTGAAGGTGAAATAACTTAAGGAGGGGCGTTGCAGTTTTATGACGACGGGAGCGGATTTGAGAGTGAATAGAGAAATCGTAGATTTTGGTTTTCAGGGAGATAATTTAGATAGTGAAATCACGAAAATGAATAAATAATTAATAAATAAATAAATTATTCATAAAATCTACATAATTAGGTTACCTTAAAAATCACGAAATCTTTTAGAAATCACTAAGGGTGCGTTTGGTACGTTGGACAGGGTGGGACAGGACAGGACAGAACACAATTGTCCTATGTTTGGTGTGGTTTTATGTGGGACTAACTAGAACAAACTAGAACAAGGGTGGGACAAGGTTGTCCACCCTTTACCCATGGAACTAAGTAGAACAAGAAACTTTTTACCACTTTACCCTCAAAAACCTCATACGCATACCTTCCTTCTTCCCCTTCACTCTCCTCTCCTCCATCGCTTCCACCGCCCAACCGGCGTCCGGTGACGGCGACTTCCGATGGCCGCCGCCGCTGCTTCTCCGATGGCCGCCGCCGCTGCTTCTCCGATGGCCGCCGCCGCTGCTTCTCCCGATGGCCGCCGCCGCTGCTTCTTACAGCAACTACATCACGAATTAGAAGGAACTCTTCAAATATCTTTCTTCTTATTTCATGCAAGTAAGGAATTATATTTTGATGGTGGTTTCGTACTCGATTTCGCCAACAACTTGATTAATTGAAGTACTTATTAGGGATTTTAATGAAGTATTATGATTTATTTCGAGAGTATGCATTTCGTAGTGAAAAAACACTAAACAGCTCACTGGGGGTAAATTGGTCATTTTAACCAGTTCTATCATGTCCTGTCCTGTCTTACCAAACGCTGAACAGCTGTCCTGTCCTGTCCTGTCCCGTCCTGTCCTGTCCTGTCCAGTCCTGTCTGCGCACCAAACGCACACGACACAACCGACACATCCTCATGGCTGACGCTGAGGAAAAGGCACGTCAACGAGCGACAAGTGAAAGGAGAAACCCTAGTTACATACCAAATCTAGTCATAACTATATTGCAAATTTCAATTGTTTCAGCATCATTTGATTTGCTAGAATCTCGAGAACTTGTTTTTATTTGGACTTAGGCCTCGTCAAGTTGATGTAAAGATTTTCGATATTCAAATGATTGATGTTTGCACGATATATCATGCACGTCACAACCACTAGGTAGGAAAGTACGTTTTTCAAAGTAGACAGGGTTATCGTTTGTTGTTGAAACAAAAGCATACATCTAAAGCCATGTCTTATTACCAAATTAAGAGCATCTAACAACTATACATACATCTGCCGGTCCATTTTCTAATTTATTCAATTTTGGCAAGTATTTGATTGAATTAGTGGTGACAACATTAACAAGTTCTCCACAAAACCGATCTTCATTAGTCGTAACTCCTACATCGTAAACCAGAAGGGTGGTGCCTGATTGGTTTGAGTTTGACCCCAAAGGTCAAAAGTATCAGGAGGTTTCAGGTCCAAATACAAGGAGGAATAAAAATCCTCTTGTGGCCATGGAGGTTCAAATGCGGTGACTCCATGCTATGTGCAAAGCAGGTGGTCGCCCTGAGATTAGTCGGCTCGCATAGCCAGTTGGATATTCAGGTTAATAAAAAAAAAAACTCCTACATCGTAAGTGACAATGCATATAATGTAATAAACTTGGGTAGGGATGACGTTTAAAATCCAATTTCATACCGATGAGGAAACTAAGGTGGAGTTCAAGACTCAGTCTCCATCTCACGTGTATAAATGTAAAAAAGGTTAAGTAATCGAGGGGGGGGGGCAAGAGGGGTGCAAGGAAAGATAGAAACAGGGTCACGAAGGATGTGCGGAAATAGATATATGGTACATGATAAAACGAAGATCAAGACAATACCAACTAAACCATTAAAAGAACGACAACATCCAAACCACCAACTACAAGTTTGTAATGGTAAGATGCTATAATAGACGAGGGTAGCGAGACAAGGTAATTGTTCATTGGATCATATGGAGATGCCCTGGAAAATGAGCGCTTCAGACATTGCTGAGAGGTTTCATTCTATTTAACAAACTCAATCATGTATGATCGAACCAGACATTGACCCTAAATGAAGCCGTTCAGATTCAAACAAACACGACCATAATCAGATACTTTACACACGAGAGGAATTAAAAACAGAATTTACATGAATGCAAATCAAATCTGATGCGACAGTCACATATTTTCAATTTCGTAAAACTTAATCAGGTTATACGATTGCTATAAAATTTAAACCACAAATAGTAATTTTTTCGTGTGTTAAGATATTTCAAGTTATTTCGTTTCCTTATTTCAAATTCGTTTACCCATAACTCATGTTAACCAATAAAACATTATAGTAAAGCAGGTGGTCGTCCTGAGATTAGTCGGCTCGCATAGCGGGTTGGATATACAGGTTAATCAAAAAAAGAAAAAATAATAGTTACGTATCTAGTTTACATATGAGAATTTTTACGATGACGTTTTGAAAAGTAATACCGAAAATGGTGGTTATAAAATGGTACGTATAACTTTAAATGAGATTTTAATTATATCAATAACCTTCTGATCAGTATAAAGCCATTTTTTCTTTAATAGGTCATGAGTTGTATAATATTAAGAGTCATTTTTTTCATATTCAGGGACTGATTTGCAAATATGTGAAACTAGAGGTAAGGAATTGTAAATTTAAGATTTTGAAAATTGAAATCAAGCCGGATGCCAAATGCCTTATGAAATCCGACATAATTTTCTTGTTCTTATTTATTTAGTTTACGTTTAGGTCTCTTGTTTTTTAATGTTTCGATCTCTCTCTCTTGCCCTTTTTAGAGAGAGAAGCAGAAATTTTGTATGTATACATAGATTTAGGGCACATATAAGGCGATTAGGCGAATTAGTGTGAAGAAATTCGTAATTTTTTCTTCACCAATTACTTTATTTTGGTGCAATTTTGCTCAGGACCACGAGCGACCCAAAAGCCCTAAAAATTTGTACTATGGTCCTGAGATTTAGGGTTTTTAAAGAATGTTGAATTTCTATTGCGATTAAGTATCGACTGTGTTGGTTTCGTACACAGGAAACTAGATACATGCAAGTTATTAGGGGTTTGAATTGTGGTGTTGTACGGTAGAGGTGAAAGAAGAGGAAGCGATGGACGGAAGGAGGATAACGGCGAGTCCACGTCCGTGCAGTGGACGGAGGGTGGTGGCGAAGAAACGTCCGCGTGGTGGTGTTGATGGGTTTGTGAATAGCGTTAAGAAGCTTCAGAGGAGGGAGATTTGTTCAAAGCGGGATCGTTCTTTTAGTATGTGTGATGCTCAGGAGAGGTTTAGAAATATCCGCTTACAGGTTCTTGTTTACGCTGCTATTTTTTTCCGAGTTATAGATGTGCTTAATTCTTTTAGAATTATACTAGCGTTCGACACTTAACACAAGAATGAATTTCCGTTGCTTTCACAGTTGATCGAAATGTTTTAGGGTTTTTCTTTTTGTGTGTTGTTTGTCTTTATTCAAATAAATCTTTACAAAATCCAGTTTAATTTTGTATGATTAGCTTAATAAAGTGGCATTAGGAGGGAAGGGACTTTGTATGCGTTTATGTGGATGATAAAGATGTATGTTTTTGGAACTGATATGAAATGCTATGGTATATTTCTGTCTGACTTGTAGCTAGAGCAATTGCTACGTTGATGTGAGTGTGTTGATGAGGGCCTCAATTGAAACTGATGTTTTTAATCACTTTTCCAGGTTTATGCTTAATCTAATTAGTACATGTTTATGCATTAATAATGTTCATGGTCCTTGAGAAAGTATAATACTTCATTGGTATGTCTAATATTTGTACTTTTGAGTTGGTTTAATGCCTCTTTAAGTTTTCATTATGGCTCAAATGTTTTTTTTTTAAACTTCTAATCTGATGAATGATGGCATCAGGAGGAGTATGATACCCATGATCCAAAGGGGCACTGCTCTATGGTTTTGCCATTTCTTAAGAAGAGGTCAAAAATTGTTGAGATTGTTGCTGCTCGTGACATAGTCTTTGCCCTTGCGCAATCCGGAATCTGTGCTGCATTTAGTCGAGGTATAATTAGGGGGAAAGGGAATTTTTGAATTATGTAGTTGGTGATGAAGGGGGGTATTTGACATGATCTTTTTATGCAGAGACTAACCAGAGGATATGCTTTCTAAATGTCAGTCCTGATGAAGTTATAAGAAGCTTGTTTTACAACAAGAACAATGATTCGCTCATTACAGTCTCAGTCTATGCTTCGGACAGTTTTAGTTCCCTGAAATGTCGAACAACAGGGATTGAGTATGTGAAAACTTACCAACTCATGTGTTCATGATATTCTATTAATCTTGCAAGATTTATTACTGAGTTTATTGTGCCTGTAATGGTATCAGATACATACGGAGAGGTAAGCCAGATGCAGGTTTTGCCCTTTTCGAGTCAGAATCTTTGAAATGGCCTGGTTTTGTGGAGTTTGATGATGTAAATGGTAAAGTACTTACATTCTCGGCACAAGATAGGTAATTTCTTAATATGATCCCTATCTCTTTGCACAATCTTGCCATTTTTATTTGGGCTGACTTCAATCCTTGTTTGTTATTTTTTGTCAGCATTTACAAGGTGTTCGATTTGAAAAACTACATGATGTTATATTCAATATCAGATAAAAATGTCCAAGAGATCAAAATAAGGTAAATCTCTTGATGTGGAAAATGGATATAAGAGGCATGTTGATATGTTCTTTCAATGCATGTTTTGATATCATTTCTTGATTACTATACTTATAGCCTTAGTACTGGATAAGCTACTGTTGCTCATGCATTGCAAGCTTTTCTACTGAATTGAGAGATTGGAGGGCTTTGTTTTAAAGTTAAATCAGATGCTCTCTTCCAAAACGTTTGACGTTAGCAGTTAGTGGTCCAAAACATTTCCTTCAATAAGTTCTCCTAATGATGAACACCGACTATTTGTTAACTCACTGTATATCCTTCTCTCGATTCCTTGTTTTTATTGTTTTGTAATTTTTACCTACTGTATTGTTAATTATATATCGTCCATGGTATGTATCCATGACATTTTTGCTCTTCATTTTCCAAAAACAGCCCTGGCATCATGTTGTTGATATTTAATAAAGCTAGTGGTCATGTCCCTCTCAAGATTCTCTCCATTGAAGATGGAACTGTTCTGAAAACTTTCAACCATCTCCTTCATCGGAATAAGAAGGTGGATTTCATTGAACAGTTTAATGAAAAGCTTCTTGTCAAACAAGAGAATGAGAATCTCCAGATTCTTGATGTAAGAATCTTTCTTATTTCCTCACGGTATTGATATTTTATATTTGAAAGGCATTGGAAATCTAAGGACTATGGTTATGTAGGTTCGCAATTCTGAGCTAACCGAAGTTAGCAGGACGGAATTTATGACTCCGTCGGCATTCATCTTTCTATATGAGAACCAGTTGTTCCTGACGTTCAGAAACAGAACAGTTGCTGTGTGGAACTTCCGTGGAGAGCTTGTGACTTCATTTGAAGATCATTTGTTGTGGCATCCAGACTGCAACACTAACAACATATATATCACAAGTGATCAGGATCTTATCATTTCTTATTGCAAAGCTGATTCTGATGATTCTGTAACCGAAGGAAATGGTAATTTGTTCATTCACATATTAAAGCCATTGTGACCACATCATCCCTCCGTCCTATTAAAATGTCCACAATTCTATTTTAGTTTGTCCCAAAACAAGTGTCCACTTCCCAATTCTACCCTTAATTATGAGATGGAGAAATTCATTACTTCATAATTTGTTAAGGGTAAAATTATCATTTACATGATTAGAAAGTGTAATTTTTTTTACCACAAGGGTTGTGGCGTAGTGGTTGAGGGATGTGGTGGAATATCATATGTCTGCCCCAGGCTCGATTCCAGGCGTCCGCAACCATTGTGTCCCCACTGAGTTTATCAGGGCTGATGTCTTACTGTTGCAATTTGACTAATTTTAAAATTGCATCTTTTTCATTGTGGACACTTATTTTGGAGCTGAGGGAGTATGTTTCTTTCTGTTGGATAGCTATCTAGATTGTTTCTTTCTGAGTAAATTTGTTTTGAAAATGCAGCAGGCTCTATCAATATCAGCAATATTCTGACAGGAAAATGCCTTGCAAAAGTAAAGGCAATGGACGGTACGAAATTGGATGATTGCATTTGCAGTGGGCGAAGATGCAAGTGCAGGAAGCGGGTGGGGAGTAGTAGGAGGATGACGAGCTCGGTTACAGAAGCCTTGGAGGACATTACTGCCCTTTTCTACGATGAAGAGCGTAATGAGATCTATACTGGTAATAGGCTTGGCTTAGTCCATGTGTGGTCTAACTGATGGATCAATTATCCATAGTCTGGCTGCATCAGCATCAAGTAATGTATGTACCATTAAGCTCTCTTTTGAGTAGTTCTCATGCCCTTAATCAAAGGTATTTTCGACTCATTTTCAGCTGCTGTTGCTATTTGTTAATTTGTGAACAAACACATCTGTAAGGATGCGTTTGGTATGCAGACAATACATAACCGAAACTTGTCTCATGTTTGGTGGGACAATTAGCCGGACCAGATAGGAATAGGAATGAGTGGGACGAGACTAGCTTGATAAATTACTAAACTATCCATATCAAATCAAAACCCTAAAACCGTTTTACGATTCCTAACCTGTTTACCTTCCTCTTATCGGCATACCAAACGCACCCTGAAGCTGTGTGCCATTTTCAATTTTCTAAGCAGACAAAAGGGTTTTGTTATTATCCTTGTAAGATGGATAGTCTGTGGGTCAGTAATAACTGAAGACTTAAGCACTGGTGGGGTTGGTTTTGTAGTTTAGTGCTTATTTGGCCTTTTGAAAGTGGTTATAGGAAAAAGTAGTATGTGGGGGGTAACATGAATGCTTTATTGATTGATGATAAAGCAAAAAGCATATGATGATTTATAATATAACATAATGATGATGCCTTTAGACCCATATAGTTTTAACATTCAAATTACGATCCACCCGTTAAAACAAAACATACTTGTTGGAAATGCTGATTGTAACAAATTTGTTATATAATCTGACGAGTTTAATGGAAGTATTCAATGATGTTGTTTGTTTACCTCTTAATAGTTCCATTAATAAGCAACCTCTGAATCGTTAAGAGATGTATCTTGTTTGGAAAAAAAACAAAGTCTACCTATTAATGGTTTTAAAACTCTCTGAATGATTTTGTATTTTGGATCTTTCTTAACTAAAAAGAGCCATAATTTTATTGTACAAAATTATCAAACAATTATATTTCATTTTGTATTATATCATGAGTCTTTTAATCATTTTGTACTAAACTATTCAGTAATTGTCAAATAACCTTATGAAACAATTTTCATGTTTTAAATGAAGTTTTTGTTTTTATTTATTTCTGATCAATCAATTAAATTAAAAACTATCTGATAATGTTTTATTAAACAGCAAAATGGTTGTATGGCTTTTACCAACCGTTACAACTTTTTGACATGACAACCAGAACTTGTTACAGTTTTAGAAGACAGGTACCATGATAGGTTAAAGTCATGAATGGTTAATTGGTTTTTTGTATTTATTAATTAGAAGGGTACTCGTCTAATGCAGCGATATATATATATATATATATATATATATTTCAATGTTTTATTTTATTTTTGGTCTTTGTCGATGTTATTATAAGAATCTATGTGGTTTTGAGCAAACAATAATGTTTTTCTTAATAAAATATAAATTTGAAGATATCATAAAAATTAAAGTACATAAAAGTTCATATTTTTTTGTGTAATTTCTATAATTCAATATTTATATTGTAATTTAATTTAGGCTTAATGACAAAGTAATTTATTTTTGGTTTAACTATATCATTTTTATAAATATAACAATTAGATATTATGTTAGAACTCCATAATTATTCTAATTATATTTTAGATATATTTAAAATGAGAATTTTATCTTCTATTTGATTATATTTATCTACAGTTAGTAACATGAATTCCAATATAAAGCTTAATAAATTATATTTATACATAACTTATTTGTAATATTGAATTTTATCCGTTGATTCATTTTTTTGCCTTGTTTTTTGATTAATTAACATATTAAATATAATATCAAAATTATCTATTAAGATTTTTTTTTTGTTAAAATCATAAAAGTAACGGTATCTAAATCATTTAACCCATTTTTTTAAGCTGCTTATAAATTTATTCTTTATTTACAAATCGGAATCGTCTTATCTAATAACCATTATACCAATTTAATTTTTTTTATTAACCTGGATATCCGACTTGCTATGTGAGCCAATTAATCCCAAGACGACCACCTGCTTTGCAGATAGCCTGCAGCCATCGCATTTGAACCTCCATGACCACAAGATAATTTTTATTCCTCTTTAGATTTGAACCTGAGACCTTCAAATACTTTTGACCTTATACCAATTTAGTTTTGAAAATAAACAAACAAAAATTAGGTAGAAAACATTTATGACGAGAGTAAAGTTCATTTTTGGGCCTTAATGTTTTTTCAATTTTTAATAGATATCATTCTTAAATTTTAAGAACTCAAATGTGGTCCTTTACGTTTGTTAATTTCTAATGGGTTTGGTCCCTCACTCTAATGATTATCGACTTCTCTCGTTTGAAGTTAGTAAAACAAGGAGTATTTTTATTTACTATATACAAACACTCACTTCCAAAAACCAGTCGGCCTTTTGCGATTTTCCGGGCAACCACTCCCCTCGGCCAACACGTGTCGAGGGCTATTTTGATATTTTATTTCCTACTAAAACTATTAGGTCTCGTTTGGTTTAAAGGAATGGAATGTATTTGGAGGAATTTGCATTTCAAATCAATTTCAATACTACGTTTGGTTTGTTGGATTGTCCGGATTTGAAATTCTAGGATTTAATTGAAATCTTTCAAACATAAGATTTTGAAATCCTTGGGGAGTGCTCAGGATTTCGTAGGATTGTATGCAATAAGGTTTTAAATTAAAATGTTAAAAATATTTGTCTTGTAATAATCAATTAATAAAAATGTAATTTTCAATTATTTTTATAATTATTTATATTTTTTTCTATTTATTTATAAATAATGAAATCTAATTCTATTCCAAATCCTACAAACCAAACACACCAATAAATTTAAATACATTCCAATCCAAATCCAAATACCTCCATGAAATCCAAATCCCTCAAAAAACAATCTTGCAAACCAAACGGACCTTTATAGATACGCTTTTAGTTTGTTTAAAAGAAAATTAAACAAATAGATAAAATGACCAAAACACTTTACATTTAACTAGACTTAGGGGTTATTTGTTTACCTCTTAATAGTTTCATTAAGAGGTGAATCTTGTTTGACAAAAGAAAAGTCTTCCTCTTAATAATTCTAAAATTCTCTGAATGATTTTGCATCATGGAATTCTCTTAACCATTCAGCGTCCTAATTTCATTGTAAACAATTATCAAACAATTATATTTCATTTTGCATTATATAATGAGAGTCTCTTAATCATTCTGACCACTTAATCATTCTGCACTAAACCATTCAGCAACTACTAAACAAACCCTTAACAAAAAAAAAACCGTTAATATCCATAGACAAAGGGACGAAATCCATTGGAAACTAAAAACATGAGGAATCAATTGCAAATTTATAAAGTTTAAGGATGATATCCGTCAAATTTTATAAACATTAGGGACCAAAATCAGAGTTTTCTCCTATGCTTATTGAATATTCAAACAATCAATTTGAAAATGCGTTGTAAAAATAGTGACGGTGGTAGTAGTAGAAAATAGAGATGGAACCATTGACGGACTTAAAAGGGTGGTTAGGTGGCACATGTCATCGTATTGTTTCTTTGTGGTAAGGTAAAAAAAATTAGGTTTGTAAAAGTGCAACCGTTTTATTCTAGAATGTACAACCGTTTTATATGGTGCCATCGTATCCAAAAAAATTTGGGTCCGTTGTCTGTTTTGTATTTTTATTTTGTTTAATTATTTAAATTTTGAGATCTCATCTCATCTACCACTTGCGGATTATGTCTTTGGAATATATTGATTATATTCGTATTAAAAAAGTGACCATACAACACTCTCCCATGTGACCCAAATTACAATATTCCTCTATTTATATTTCTATTTCAAAATTATATACACATCAAATTTTTAAATCAAATTAATTAATTAATTTTTATTTTTTTTGTTAATTTTTATATCTATTTATTTACGGTGCAAAAGTGATTTTAAAATTAAAATTTTAGTTTGAATATTTAAAAAATGGAAATATTTTAACTTTTAATGTTTGTATAGAATGTTGTTGGGCATAAAGATAAAGCTATTGTTTTCAATAATTGAGAACATATTAAACTTGTACAATAATCATGTTAATATATTCTTCTTTACTACAACGTGAGAAAAGGTTCGTTTGAGAAGTGAAGAAGTGATTATAACCTTTTATCTGGTTAATATTTGTGGTTTTGACTGTGAAGTATTGATAATTTTTCATATGGGTATGCAAAAAATAGAAGAATAGTTTTGTAACTTTTACAAATATACGACAAACAAGTTCATATGTGAAGTCATGTGATTCACATATGAAATGTATGTGTATATGTGAACCCGTTAATTGGTTCACATGTAAATTATTTAACTGAGATTCATATGTGAATCAGTTAATTAGTTCATATATGAATCACACGGATTTTATATGTGAATCCGTTAATTAGTTCATTTTTTTAGTTCTCAAATATAACCACTTCTTGAAATAATCTATGACTACTCCACAAACATAGTAATTCTACTAGAATAGTTACTATATAACTGCATAGTTATACTGTTATTATTATTTTTTATAATGTTTTTGTAAAATTATACGATAATAATAAAAAAGTTGATACGAAGGAAAAATTAAAATAGCGATCAACTTCAACAAAATTATTAAAGTTATGAAGAAATACGCAATTTTTGTAGATTTATTTGTGAAAATCAGTTTTTTACAAAAACTAATGAAACACAATAAACTTAGAGGTCGTTTACTAAACACTTATTTGGTAAGTACTTACCGAATAAACTTCTTCATCGGATGAACATGAGAAAGGTCAAGAATCTTACTGGATAAGAGCGATGAGAATGATGAAGAGTCCTACCCGGTAACTGAGGATGAAGACTCTTACCCAGGTAAGCGCTTACCTACTAAATTGTTGCATTCGATATGTTTTAATATACTAAAGTTTTACGCATCAAAATAAATCATAGTGTTGACTCTTATCGGTAAGCGCTTACCAGGTAAACAATTGGGTAAACGGCCCCCTTAGGTTAAGTTTGGTTTGGTAGAATGTTTTGAGAGATTTGGATTTTATGGGAACATTAGAATTGGAAGAATTTCGAATCTTTTATATGTTCTGTTTGTAGGGTTTAGAATGAAATTGAATTCCATTATTTATAT